CAGTGGTGTCACAGATCAGCTCACAACAACCTTCAATTCCTGGGCTTAGGCGATTCTCTTGCCCCAGCCTCCTGAGTAGCTGGGATTACAGGTGCCTGCCACAACACCTGGCTATTTTTTGTTACGGTTTGGCCGGGGCTGGGTTCAAACCTGCCACCCTTGGTATATGGGGCTAGCACCCTACCCACTGAGCCATAGGCACTGCCCAATTTTGCTTTATTTCTTTAACAAAGTTTTGTTTTAAAGGTGGTTTATTTTGAGAAAACTTACTTCGCCTGGGGGCTATGGCTCCTGCCTATAATCCTAGCACACTTCGACGCTGAGGAGAGAGGATTGCTTGAGCTCAAGAGTTCAGGACCAGCCTGAGCAAGTGCAAGACCCTGTCTCTAGCAAAAAATGAGAAAAATTAGGTAGGCGTTGTGGTGGGCACCTATAGTCTCAGAAGGCTAAGGCAGGAGGATCATTTAAGCCCAGGAGTTTAAGGTTACTGTAAGCTAGGCTAATGCCACAGCACACTAGCCTAGGCAGTAGAGTGAGACTCTGTCTTAATAAATAAGAAACTTACTTTAACTGAAATAAGTAGAAGCGTTAAGTTAAACATGAAGTTAACAAATCTTGCAACCTTTCTTGTAGATCTTTATGAATTGCAAAATTAAAAGAGCTTATAACAACAAAGAGCTTTTAACAAGCCCATTAAGAGCATTCTTTTATTTTTAAGAAGCTTAAATTAAAAATTGTATGATTCTATGAATTTAGAATTTTTTGGTTTTCGAGACAAGAGTTTTACTTCGTCACACTGAGTAGAGTGCCAAGGTGTCATAGCTCACAGCAACCTCAAACTCTTGGGCTCAGTGATTCTCTTGCCCCATCCTCCCAAGTATCTGGGACTACAGGCATCTGCCACAATGCCTGGCTATTTTTAAAGATGAGGTCTTGCTCTGGCTCTGGCTAATCTCAAACCTGTGAACTTAGGCAATCCCAGAGTGATAGGGTTACAGATATAAGCCACTGTGCCTGGCTCTGAATTTAGAATTTTTTTTTTGCAGTTTTTGACCAGGGCTGGGTCTGAACCCGCCACCTCCGGCATATGGGGCCAGCGCCCTACCCCTTTGAGTCACAGGCGCCATCCTGAATTTTTTTTTTTTTTGAGATACAATCTCACTGTGTTGCCCTTGGTTGAGTGCTATGGCGTCACAACTCACAGCAACCTCCAACTCTTGGGCTTAAATGATTTTCTTGCCTCAGCCTCTCGAGTAGCTGGGACTACAGGTGCCAGCCACAATGCCCGGCTATTTTTTTTGGTAGCAGTTGTTGTCATTTAGTAGGCCCAGGCCAGGCTCAAACCCACCAGCCTCTGTGCGTATGGCTGGCACCCTACCCACTGAGCTATGGGTGCTGCCTGAATTTAGAATTTTTTAAAAACATTAAATTGTTAGTTTGGCTTGGTGACACGTGCCTATAGTCCCAGGGATTCCAGAAGCTGACACAGGAGGATTACTTTAGTTCATGAGTGCAAGGCTTCAGGGAGCTATGATCACACTACTGCACTGGGCCTAGGTAACAGAGGGAGACTCTGTCTCCAAAACAAAACAAAACCCCAAACCTCTGTTAAATTGTTAGTTGTATAATGGTAACTAATAGATACCAAGTATAAACTCGTATAATGTACTGTTGGACATTTCATGAGGCTTTTTTTTTTTGAGACACAGTCTTACTCTGTTGCCCTGGATAGAGTGCCATGGCTTCCACAGCAGCCTCAAACTTGGGCTTCAGCAACCCTCTTGTCGCAGCCTCCTGAGTAGCTGGGACTACAGTTTTTCTATTTTTAATAGAGATGGAGTCTCTTGCCTCTTGCTCAGGCTGGTTTTGAACTCTTAAGCTCAGGGGATCCACCTGCTTTGGCCTCTCAAGAGTGCTAGGATTATAGGTATGAGCCACCACACCCGACCCACATGAAGCTTCTTAAATTCTTTTTGCTTCAAACGTAACAAACCCTATGCTATACAACTGTGCCTTTAGCTTTGAATCTCACAAAACTGCTCATCTGGTTGTTTTGAGTAACAGAAGTAACAGATTGTCAATGGGGTTCCTTGTCTTCTTGGTAGCCAAATACTTTCACTTACTGAGGATACCTGGGTTTTTGTCTTCCAGCAATATCCAGACTATTATGCAATAATTAAAGAACCAATAGATCTCAAGACCATTGCCCAGAGGATACAGGTATGATGGTGACCATATGTAACTATATGTGATTTAGAGCAAATTCACCTATGGTCTTTTTTAGGGGCTTTTAGAAAATGGAGAAGTCAGATATCTATAAGGCGTTATTAGCAAATAATCTAAACAAATTACAATCATTGTTACTGAATGTAGCTTTGGATTACACCTTAGGACAAAATTTAAAAAGCATTGGTTATATAAAAATAAAAAATAAAAAAAAATAAAATAAAATAAAAAAACATTGGTTATAGACATTTCTGATTGTGAAAGGTGCATTGGCAATAAAAGTTTTGTTGTTGGGGTGCCTATTGCTCAGTGGTTAGGGCACTGGCCACATGCATTGAGGCTGGTGGGTTCAAACCTGGCCTGGTCCTATTAAACAACAATAACAACTACAACAAAAACACAGCCAGGCATTATGGCAGGCGCCTATAGTCCCAACTACTTGGGAGGCTGAGGCCAGAGAATCTCTTTAGCCCAAGAGGATGATGTTGCTATGATCTGTGACACCATAGCACTCTACCAAGGGCGACATAGACTCTGGCTCACACACACACACACAAAAAAAAGATAATATTTGAATAAGATGAACAAAGATACTACTTTGTTCTCTTTAGGCCTGTCCCCTCTTCCCTTCTCATATCCCCAGCAGTAAATACCAGCAGCTAACACTTACGTGTACTTGCTATGTACCTAGCACTGTTCTAAGTGCCCAGTATGTATAAGGCAATTAATTCTAACAACAGCTCCATGAGGTAGATACTGTTACTATTCCTTTTTTATAGATTAGACCACTGAGATGTTATTTGCCCAATTTACCACCTAAGGGTTTGAATCCAGATGATCTGTCTCCAGAATCTGTGCTCTTACACATGCTATCTTTCCACAAAGTAGGTGCTCAATAAATAATAGTGGAGCGAATTAATGACCATAGTTTAAAGTTTGATGATCAGTGTTTAAGGAAAGTATAGGAAGAAATTACTAAATTATATCAGAAAATTAGTTTTTGGAGTGGAACTGATGTGGTTCTTTTCCTAGTTCTATTTCTTACTAGCTATGTCACTCTGGTCAGGCGACTTGCCTGCTTCCTCCTCCATATCTTGGGTGTAGTGTGGCCACTTCACAGAATTTCACAGAGTCATAGAGGTCAATGATAATGTATGTAAAGCAGGTATCATAGCACCTATAGCCCTAGTAAATATGAGTCACTGATCTTCCCAGGAAAAGGAGGGTATGCTAATCCCAGAAGATAAGGCAAAAAGGAAAACTTCATGTGTTACTCTTAGCGTCTTATTGAGAAATGAGATTGAAGGCAACAGTGGTTTGTTGGGAGGGAGAAAGTTCCTTGGCTTTAAATCTAAGAGAATATTAAAGAGTAACAACACAGTAAGTACTACTTACTGTGTCTGTGAAGACACGTTTTCACAGAATGAAGAAATACACATTTCCTAATGAATTGTCTATTTTTTAAGGCAAATCCATAATTGCTGCCAAGAATGACCAAGCCTCCTAAATCCCTAGGGTATCCAACATCTATCTCTGGGGGTAATATTTTCTTTCTTTCTTTCTTTCTTTTTTTTTTTGAGAGTCTCACTTTATCACCCTCGGTAGAATGCCATGGCATCCCAGCTCACAGTGACCTCCAACTCCTGGGCTTAGGCAATTCTCTTGCCTTAGCCCCCCTAGTAGCTGAGACTGCAGGCACCCACCACAACGCCACAATTTTTTGTTGCAGTTTGGCTGGGGATCGTTCGAACCCACCACCCTGAGTATATGAGGCCAGCACCCTACCCACTGAGCCACAGGCACCGCCCGTGTTTTCTTAATATAGTGAAAATCAGATGGTGCCCATAGCTCAGTATAGGTTCCAGCCACGTATACTGAGGCACGCAGGTTCGAACCCAGTCCGGGATGACCAAACAACAATGACAACTACAACAAAAAATAGCCAGACATTGTGGCAGGCGCCTGTAGTCCCAGCTACTTGGGAGGCTGAGGCAAGAGAATCTCTTAAGCCCAGGAGTTAGAGGTTGCTGTGAGCTGTGACTCCACAGCATTCTACCAAGGGCAACATAGTAAGTCTCTTTTCTTAAAAAAAAAAAAAAAAAAGGTGAAAATCAAATCTTATCTTTAAATACCTCTACTATAGCCTTAATCTTCTGTCTCTGACTTTTCACCTTTTCTTTTTTTTTTTTTTTGAGACGGAGCCTCAAGCTATCCCCCTGGGTAGAGTGCCATGGCATCACACTCAAAACTGCTATTGCATTCTTTCTTTGTGAAGGCC